ACTCAACAAGCGTCTTCAGAGCATCAATATCAATTCCAACATGCTATCATAGTTTTAAGGCTAAAAACACTCACGGACGTTCAAAACATTTCCTTGTGGCTACAGAGGCGTTGTTTGCCTTCTTGTATTCAAACACCATTACATGCTTAATGTGTGTCTCGTTGTGTGCCATTACTATAAGAGATTAGAGTATACTAAACTTTACACATTATATAGGCTATACTAACGTTTAGTCGTTTCGTTTAACTATGATACGTGATGTACGTTTGCTTTGTTGTTGTTGTTTTTTTTCTGGGGGGGGTGTTAATGAAAGTGTCTCAAAACGCGAAATTAATTTCTTAACGACCTAATATCTAATTACTAATGTTAAATTTAAATCTAAGTATAAAGCTTCACATCTTGCGATAAGACAATAATTGACTGATGACTGATTAACTGCTTTATTACAAGATGAACTCAAACCAACATAAGAATTAATGAGCAGGTAAAGACAGCAACATCAAGAAAGGCTTTAATATTAGTTTTATTTTCAATAGAATCGAATATCTCGCGCTCGCTTTAAATCATTTGCCTTGTCTTATTGACCTGGAAACTATGTTCATTAACACAGACGTTGTAAGATAATCAACTTGAATATAAAACAAGCTTCTACTAAGTCAAAGAAACTAGACCTTAAAGATGTACGTTACGACTCAGCAATTAAAAAAAAAGGCAACGTAAAATCAAGATTCTCTAAATCTAAGCAGTTCGAAGTAAGACACAGCTATGACAATAGCCCTGCAGCGTAGTTTCCATTGTAAGATTGTCACGACCAACACACATCCAATCTCCCTTTGTTTCGATAATCAAGTTAGCGTACGAGGACGACGGTTTGTCAGTACTCGTTTCAACAGTCCGATCACACACACATAAAACCACAGGCGCTGCATCCAGCGACATCGTATAGAATAGCATGAATACCTGTTTCATTCTCCAGCAGCTTGACGTATGCAAAAGATGAACGGATACATCATGGGACAACTTGTGTAGCTTTTCGTAACGGAGATGCTTCTTGATTATATTAAGTACTGTTGCCTTGCGCACGCGGACAGCTTTTGCCACTGACCTTTGTATTCCTGGATATTTATGTATTACAAGTCGCCGCTTGTTGGTTACACAGGATGTGAGTGATAAAAGAATTGGAGTAGTGTTATAAGTGCAGCATATTGGATATCGTTATATGACACATGATAGTCTTATGTTGATGTCTCGTGAATGCTAATAGTAAACAAAAAAGATAAAACTTCTTGCATTCACAATAGTCGTTGACCTTTGTTTTTTAATAGTTAATAATTTCTAGTAGGTTTATTAACTTTGTAGATTTTGCAATGTAGAACATCGTTTACTCGTACACATTGTAGCGGTCTTATCAGAGTACGTGTATATATATATATATACAGAGGGTTGAGTACGTTGTATTAAAACGATGTTGAATATCCAAATCAACAAGTTGCTTGACAGTCACGACCGATATAAAGTCGCGGTAAAACGGAATGTATCAGAGCTACATTTTTACATTGTAGATAGAGCATGCCTCCGAAAACTGATCGCTTTTAGGAATGGTACATAACAGCCCTTTCTGACACAAAATCTTCACGCACTCAGATCACAAAGATGTTTTCAGATCTAGGATTTAGAATTTCCAAAACGGGGATATCCCTTGTACGTAATTGCATTTGGTAAACAAAGGAATATGGATGAATTTGTGTCATCAAGACCATTCAGCAAGAGACTTGCAACAAGTCGTACCCCAGCCGTGATAAAACAGGCCTGCGAATTTAAACTTTATAAAAGTTGTTTTGGTTTCAATAACGGATTTTCCATAATTCAGCTACGCAGATTTCGAAAATAATATTCATTTTTTGTTATCACGTAAAGATTTTTTACAAATAGGGAACAAAAAACTCTTACTTAGCTCAAATTATTACTTCGTTTACCATAATGAACATTTTATATTATTATGTTTGTTAACAAAAATAAAAACAAGCTGAAGATAAAAAAAGAAAATTAATATCAAACGAACATGCATCCTCATTCTTTCTGATTTTTTTTAAGTCTATGTCTTTTAGTCTCAAAACTACCTGTTGTGGTCTTTCTTTTATGTGTTGCGTTATGACGTTTTGGGAAAAATCTGTACGTGATGGTAAAAATGGACATCATTTTTGGATTCAGCGTACAGGAATTACTATAGAACACGTAAAATTTCAAGACAATAAAACCATCGCAGGCCAACTTCTTTTAAGTAACTATACCACATTTTGCTCTGACTAAGGCTGATACACAATTTAGAGGAAATTGTGTTTGGGACTAATCATCTTAATCACGAAAATGTGCCTTAAATTGAGACTCCAGTGTTATATTATCGTTTCTGTTCATCCTGAATAGTTTCACAAAACATCAAGCCTGGAAAGCTATGGAATCCTCTGTTGTCCGACATTGAACTACCACAGTCTTCATTGAATCAGAAGACACTCCACCTATACTTACAATGTGACCAAGAAACTTCACATGTGTATGTATAAGTGTACTGTTCCTGGCGTCAATTTCTCTGAAATACTTGGTTTAAACACTTCAAAAAGTCATCAAAATAATTAAAAAATTAAAGTACACGGCGTTTTCTCATATCCTAAATAAAAATAACCTACAACGAATTTGGATGAACGTACTCAACCATCCGCATATACTTTCTAGTACAAGGAATAATAAAATACAAACATGCTAAGACTAACGAATGCAGTAGTTGTATGCTGTATAGATTTAACCATAAACCTACTACAGTTAGTAGTATAGTGTAGTTCTAATGATTATAAATCAGAAGTTCACGTACTAGAAGTGAATATGCTAGTTGACTAATGACGTAAGGCTAGAACAGGACAGGAAATGGATTTTAGGAACTAGGTACACTCTTAGAAAGAGCAGTGGGGTGATAGGTATAAAAAAACAAATAGACAAGATAGGAGGTTCTTATTTTATATTCTAGCTTGTCAATATCGGTAATTTGAGTTCCTAATTCGTAAGAAACTATAGACTTTGTATTTGGACATCACACACATCTAATTTGAACCAACATACCATGTGACACACAAAAATCAATATTTAGGTGTGTTCTTATAATGTTTACTTTTAAAGTAAGGAAGTAACTAATGTATAATACTAAAATTTTAATTATAGTCTACAATTTCATACCAAACTTATTGACATATATTCATAGAATAGCAGTTCAATAAAATTTTGAATGTAAGTCAACAAAAGCAATGACATGCCCTTTGACCCGTGGCGATAGGGTTAATAAACATCTTCAGTGGTACTAAACTTAACCAATGGGGAAAATTGCAAACTGAGAATTAGGTATTATTCTGTGTACCCCCATTTCCATCACTGCTTACTACTCATACATGGATTTTGTTGTTTCAGATGTGTATATTTCTCATACACTAGACAAATGGCCTAATTACACAGTACAAGTATTGATAAACTTTTTCTTACAAATCAGTACAAATCCTAATATCAAATTCCTACATAATTTATTTTATATCTAAGGATGCTGTTGTTTTGATATGTTCACATTTTCCTATAATAAAAATTTATTTCCGATAATACTCGTCATATAACACACTTTAGCTTTATACTGGCAAAAGGTTCTCTTCTTTGCCTGTCTAAGCATAGGTATGAATCCTACCTCGATTGCTCCAGTCTTTATACCCTACAATACACTCCTAGTGATTTTAATTTTGTGACTCTCTCTATCTACCTCAATGCGTCCTCTATACTCAATCCATATATAAGTTCCCCATTATTCTTTCTTATTCATTTTTCAAAAACTGGAAGGATTATCAGACCCAAACACTGACTATCTTGGGGAGGAAGGGCAGGATAATGTGAGAAGAGGTAAGTATTATTGGAAATACATTTTTGGTATAGGAAAATGTAAACTTCCAAAACACACCTCTTCTCACAATAGACTGGACCAGCTCCCTATCCAACATCTGGGAAAACCATCCAGGATTAAGGGTGGGAGGGTATCCAGCTTCACCCTCTTCTCCTTGAGTGGAATAAAGAGTACAAACATCACTAAGGAGGAATAGACCTCTGTCCACCACTCCAGAGGCTGGAAACTGAGTAGTACAAACTCCTTGCTCCACTAGAAGAGAGGGGGAGGGGTGACTCACAATAGGGAATCCTGAGGAACAATGCTCCAGAGACAGTGCAATAGGTGAACCACATTGCCTACTTGAAAAACAAAACAACCCCGATTTGATCAATTTAGAGGTCCCTTTATGCTTTACTTATGATAGTCCATGAGTGGCAATCCAGTATTGTATATTATACTTAATATAGAACAATTGTCCACCACCTGGAAAATGTCAAGGCAGTCTTATGCAACATCCCATCTCAACAGAGCTTGTTGCTACCAAGAATTTAGTTTAGTCTACTGGTAGCCAGTGCAGATTTGTAAAAGCATACCTGACCAGGCAACACTTGCCATTGAGTGGGATCCAAATGAGAATGATGAAAAGGTCCCTAAAAATGAATGAAGTTATTCACCTCCGTCACAATTGGGCCAGGGCACATAGAATAGCCACAGGCGGAAATGGCTAAATCCTATATATATATATAGTGCGATATAAATGGGTTAGGTCCACATACCAGCCTGAGCTACCAGGGGCCTCGATATATGTCAAAAGTGATTAGATGAGACCCTAAGAAATCTCTGCTCCTCCAATGAAAGACCAGAGTAAGCTCTCCGAACCAACTGACGAATCCAACTTGTCAAAGTGACAAGGGATAAGTCATGTTATACCAAAGGAACCCAATGGATAAGTAATCAGTGATGTGAGCCTTGAAATACTTCAATGCATACCACATAACTTCAAAGAGCCCAAACAGGACATAAAAGAGGGAAAATGAATAGGAGAGAAAACTTTAACTACTTCCCTAGCTGCTGTATTTTTAGGTAGAAAGGATCTGTCTGGATACAACAGAATTTAGCTAGAATGGTACAGTGTCCTGTGAACATGAAGCACAAACACATCTGAATGTTGATGCCCTCTAGCCGATAACAGAAGAAAATACGATGTAAGTAAAAGACGATATAGGGAACATGACCCCATAGGTTCAAAAGGTGTACATGTTAACAGATGGAGAGCCACTGTGATATCCCAACTGGGACCTGGAAAGGACAAATAGAATGGATAAAACAAAAGGATTTCAAAAGTAGTAACAAAACTGGGGAATCAAAATTTATCTTTACTTAAAAAAATGAAAAGAAGCTGATAAGCCAGCCTTATACAAGACAACAGATAAAAGCATCAAACCTTTGGCAAACAACCATGTCAAAAACTGAGAGATATGAATTTGGAGAGTAAATGAATCAGAGGGAACACAGAAAGATGAAGATCCCTGATGAACTCCCGCTGGTATGGTCAAAATTGCCCTTGTGTTCCAATGGATCATGGCACCAAAGGAGGAGTTCTATTAGCTGGAATAGGAGATACAGTAAACTGTCCTGTAGAAGAACTTTGGGACAGTTGAGAGACCACTGTAGAGAGTGACAAATGTAGACAGGCCCCATCTACTCCAGGCTCCATGGAGTCAGGAATTCCCACAAAAATATACCATCTGAAAAAATGAGCTTCTGATATCTCTAAGAGCAATAAGGCATCTCTCTCCAAAAGATCCTAGCAACAAATCAACCAAGATACCAAAGAGAGAGCAGAAGCCAATAACCTGACCAAAGTTGAAGTCAATGAATGAATAAGATTCTCTGAAATTTGAGCAGGAGATCAATGATATGAGTCAGACAACAGTTGCATATGTAATAAAAAAACTGTTGTAAGTGGCAGACAAATTCTGGAAAACTGAGAGTCCAAATAATGGTTCTCTAGGTGATGGAAAGCCAAGGTATGCTGATCCAATAAATTAGGAGGACAAGGCATGGCAGCACCCTCCATCAATTGATCTGCAAATCTCCTTGCATGCACAACAATATATCTAGCTAAGGTGGAGGGACCAAGTAAGCAGACAAACTAGTGTCTCCCAATAAAGAAGGTGAAGATACATGAACTACAGGAAGAATACTCAAAACATTACAAACATGATGTATTAGTTGTAAAAAGGATGTAGAAGGTGGAATGACTTTCCGAAGTTCAGGAGTAGCTGTCTGAGCAAAGGAAGGTGCTGGAAAAATAGTCTAAGTTCTCACTAGTATGTCCTTGATCTCCCACAAACTCAGCCTCAGAGCCAATAATAGAAAAAGCATCAGACTGCATGTAAGACTAGCTCTCTGCGTATAAGTAACTGTATGCTCTATAGGGAAGGTGTCACTCACACCCACCCACCCAAGTAATGTTAGACTTGAGAGGTGGTAGAGGAGGGGCATCAGATAACCATGTGTCTGAGATTTGTGTATTCATATTTGAAAAAGTCTCCACAATTTTTTTTTATCATAAATCAAGAAAATAAACAATAAACTTAAGACCCCACAAAAAATACAAAACTAAACTAAAAAGAAAAATAGTTGCTAATAGCAGTAATAGCACTGAAGAGAAACCCACAGTAAACATATAAGATAGTCTTTGTAATTCCTGTCATTGAGAAAAAGTAGAATAAGAAAGAATTACAAGGAGCTTACATATGGACTGGGTAGAGAGGGTGCATTGATGTAGGTGGAGAGAGAGAGAGAGTCACAAGATTAAACTCACTAGAAGCAATATATTGGGGTATAAAGATTGGAGTAAGCAAGGTAGGATGCATACCAATGCTTAGACTGGCAAAGAAGAGAACCTTTTGTCTGGATAAAGCTACAGCGTGATCTGAGGTAAATGTGTTTTGGAATATATACAGGTATTTCCCAAATACCTTTATATTGTTATTTCTCATAAGTCATGTTTTATCAGCTGAAATCCAATTTGCTTTTATATAGAAACATATTTTATTATACCAATTAATTTTTGAATCATACATTTCTCTTTAATCAAACTAATTTTTTACTTTTGCTTTTTATTTCTTTCATAAATCCATACTTTAAATATATAAACATACATGTAATATAACATATACACTGCTGTAAACATAAATTATAATACTTTAATTATTCTGTAACCATTAAAATTAATACTAAACATACAGTGATATAAAAATTATCTTACTGCTATGTAGGATAAGTTGCCAATGTAAAGGTAATTATTATATTATATTATGTATTGCTTATACTCTACACACCCTGTGTGTACTGCAGCTGAAATTAGGGCAGTCTTTAAAATAAGAATGATGTATAAGATGTGTATTCACTTAAGATTCATTTTTGTATGGGAAAGTCTGCACAGTTCACAGCAGTTAGGGCTCAGAATTCCAGTTGCTGTAGCTCACCTTTTGTTTATGAATTTATATACAATTTCATCAAAATTATGTTTTTGTTAAGTGCTTAAATATGTAGTTTTAATCTGTCTTGAATGTTTAATCAGATGTCTGTAATTATAATAAACAAATGTGAGTTGGCACACTTGATTTCACTTCTCCTGAAGATAACAGCTAATTAGCCTTTATTGGTTTTCTAAGTCATCAAAAACCTAACCTGGTTTGTCAAAATATTATATTCAAACATATGTGCAAATACTTACTGATAACTAACATCATTCATACAGAATCATAGTATATTTGTTGTTTTTCACTTAAGATAAAATTAATCAAATTTTTATCTAATACTCAATCTCAGGCATTTAGTAAATGAGATATATAGCATCTTAAAAGAACATAAAAGAAGAAGAAAAAACTTACTAAAACTCCTTGTATCCAACCAAACTTTACAGCATCTGTGATTCTTACTTCTCCCTTGGACAACTTATGATTCTGAAAATTAAATATGATTAATAATTATACAAACAAAACAAGAAAATAGTTTGACCATAATTCTGTTTCAATAATAAAATAATGCGCACATTAAATTTTGTATCAGTTTTCTATATCGTAAAGCAATATTTTATAGAAATGTTTTGTTTTGTGGTTTAGCATTAATAATGTCACAGTTAAATAAAACTTTTAAAAACTCAAACATGCTGTTTTTTAAACACATTGTAAATATATTCAATTTCATGCCTTATAAATCAAGTGAATAAATGTCAGTAGCATAAGCTCATGACAATGCGTATTTGCCAATACAGTCCATGGGCCTCACCACTTTTCTGCTACCACATGATGATACAAATCATGCGGGATACCTTTTTGTTCCTTTTGAGATGGGTAATAAAATCATACTTGATAGATTTGTCAGAATAGTAGATGAAGAGTATTATTAAAGGACCAAAGTTTTAGTTCCTTCTATTCACAAAAATACTGATTTTTGAGTTACTTCAAGGCATGTATCAGTGCAAATATCCAACTAAAGTATGGTCATTGAAGTACAAAAGAGAACTGAAGATGCAGGATGTCCTAACTCATCCGCACAGGAGAGGAATCAGCATGCAACAGGCAAGTCAACCATTAGAAATGAACTAGAGAAAACTGTCAACGCTGCAGTTAACATTTCAAAGCCACAAGCATCCATAGGAGAAGGCATGACGGTAAAGAACAAATACACGTTGGATATAAAACCTTTCAGGTAATCTTTGGCTATTCTTTCAATAGTTCTAAAGGGTGAAGGAAGCAAAAAACCAGTATCATGTTTGATGTCTCTAAAGACATTTCAATTACAAATGCTGAAAGGGGAGGCAAGAGCCAATTCTGCAGGTGTGATTATCTACAAGCAAATTGTCCATTGACAACAAATCACTCAATGAAGAAATTTTCTGAAATGTTTCAAAAATGTAAGCAACCATATACAATTCATGATCAGTTAATGACAATCACAAAACAATGCTGAATGAATGCAGTATAATACTATGTGACTTGTTGGATATGGGGTGGAAACTAGAAGAATGTGATGGTCAAAATTTTCTAGTGTTCGACTAGATGGAATTAGAACCAGCACCACAGACTGTCATAGTTAACATGCAAATACACTAGTGCATATACAGCACCTGACTTTCAGTTATATTTAATAGGATGCTGTTAACTAACATGTGCAAGATAGGAATATGCAATAAGAAACCTCAAAAGAAATAGAACTTGTAAGAAAAAGTGATGAAAATGATCCTTGATTTGGATAACAAGTTGCTTTGAGAAACATGTAAATAGTTAAAAGCAAAGACATACTGAGTCATAAACAGAAAAAGGTTTGTGCTTCAGTAGAGTAAAACACTTGGAAATATAATGTGAGACAAGTAAATCAGAACTGTAATATGCCTAAATGTCACAATACATTTGGATGGTAGAACTACTGAAGTTGCAATTGAATTATAAACAGGGTTAGGATACATTGTTGAAGTTGTAGTAGTCTAGATTTTCTATAAACATATGCATTAAGTTATATACTAGTTATTAAGGTAATTAACATCCCAACCCAATGTAAATATTACACTTTACATGCTTTTGATTATTTTGTCTGAAGTGTAAAAAGTTAACAATGAGTTGTATTAAGTCATGAGTTTTCTTCCAGATAAACATCACATATAGCATTATTTGCTACATTCAAAAAGTAACTATGAATACCTATAGATTACATCTATGTATTTCAGGTATTACTTTGAGACTTAAAGGCCCAAACAAATTCCCAGTGGTGATTTGATTTTAATAAATGTCCATAACAGAGGCCTATGTTCTTGCATGTTGCAATATAAGAAAGCTGCCAAATAAGAAATTCTATCAACTTGAAATCTAGAGATATTAAGCTTTCAAATGATATATATATATATATATATATATATATAGATGATCAACTTTGCTCCACCTTAGCTTGGTAATAAACACCTCAAATTTTGGGCTTTGGCCCACTGACTAGGACAGTTACACATATTAAAAAATTCTTAAACACTGAGTTTGAGGTTTCTATGATACATACACTACTTTTTAATAGTTGTACAGTTGTTAAAATCATCATAATTGTTCAATGTCATAATAATTTGTTTCTTTTTTAAAACATGATGGTTAGTCTAAAACACCTGTGGTGTATTTGAAGATAATAGTTTAACTATGCACTATTTTTATTTTAAAACAATATATATTGAAAAGACCAATTATATTTTTACAGGTCCTCCTACCAGGAACTAGGTTTAATCTTTTCTTACTCTACTGTACATTAAGTAGCAACCTATAGTAGCATATGCATGATTGCAATATATATTGAAAAGACCAATTATATTTTTACAGGTCCTCCTACCAGGAACTAGGTTTAATCTTTTCTTACTCTACTGTACATTAAGTAGCAACCTATAGTAGCATATGCATGATTGCAATTCAATAAAAGTATACAGTATGGGATACCTTATAAAAATTATGTCTGTTGAATTTTCCCCTTTCATTTATAGGTATATGTATTAGATCTAGTTGAGCAAGAAAAATATGGGAATGAGAGAGTAAAGGAACATGTAAACTAAGAGCAGGACATACAGTACGATAACAGGATTGTTGGTAAGTAGTTGACATACAGGTAGAACAAGAACTGGCATCACATTTTGAATATGAAGAAATGTTGTTCCTAAAATAATTACTTGTTTAGAAATTTTGCATTTGGCTGATCCAGTTTGTAGCAGTCAACCACAATGTATTGAGAAAAATAAAGAACTAAAGTTCGAGGCAAGTCTCCCAACTCTGAGCATTTACATGATCAAGTATGTTGTGTATACAAGTGACAGCCTTAGAACGTCACTATTTGGCCATATTACACATTTATAGATATTGGTGTTTTGTTCTGTTTTTATGAAGCAGTTGAAAAAAATGGATGAAATATTTTTTAATATCTGATATGGGGAAGTTAGAAACACTTGTAGTTGTAGATTATGTCGTAAGCTATATTTTTAATGTTGTAATTTAGATGTTCTCTAGAGGGAGGTACAGATCATACTGATGACATTAAAAATATCACTAAACTATTCTAAGTTGACATCACAAAAACTTAGGCTTTCCATGATATCTTGAACAAGGATTAAATATAAATATAGTTGAGCCAATAAATAAGCTAAGTGAACTAGCAGAATGAATCAATAAAGCAAAGATAGTTAAGAAGATAAAGAGTTGTTTTCTAGCTGATAATGTTATCAGTTGGTGTGTTTTCATGAAGTATTTGAATCTGATTCAGTGTTAAATATAGCAAATACAATGTATTAAGTCACTTTGTAAAAGTAAGTTAAGTTTTTTTAACAATTAAAGGCCAGATAAGTTGAAAGAACATGGCAAAGAAAGATCAAAAGTACTGTCAAAAGTGGGATTATGTTGGCGAAAATAAAACAGAACTTTGACTACATTTCAACTTTCATTAAAGACCAAGAACATAAAAAGAAGTTTAGAGGCTATGGCCACAAGGGCACAAACTGAAATAGGAAACCTGCTAAACATGATAGAATAATGCAAAAAAACAGAGCGATGTAGAGCATTAAAAGAAAGTCCAGAGTCAAAAAGTTAGAAGAAAGAGATAGACAAATAAGAGAAGACTGAAAAGAAAGAGAGAAAAATGTAAAAGAATGTAGCAGGAACTTTAAAGAGGAGTTACAAGAAAAAAAGAAATACTACCTAAAGAAGAAATTAAAATGAAAATTAATCTGAAGACAAGACCAATGAAGTTGTAGGGGATACACAGAAGAACTACAACAAAGTTTTAAGGAATGCAGAAACACAAAGTAAAAAGTAAAGCACAAATAGACATGAATGAAATATAAAAGAGCATCATTTAGGTAGAAAAGAACAGTGATAGAATAAAATATATGTAAAACAAATTATTAAATGCAAAGATTAAATCAGCCATGCCTCTTTCTGCATTCTCTCAAGATTTCCAACCAGAAACACCATCTACTACCAAATATGGAATAGAATAACTTGTTTGGTCTATACTTAATACCTCTACTACTGTGCCACTTTTTAGAGAACCTTCCTGGACAACTCCAGCCATAATACTACTAAATACAGTTCCATAATTGGACTTGTTAATTGAACATTGATAAATCAAAACCCAATGGTTTATAATGGGAAGGTATCCCGGGAATCATACCAAACTCAGTTTGAAATTATTTCCAGAGTCAACGGATACAATAGTGAACAACAAACCACCCATCTGGCTTGCAATTTAAAAGCAGTCACAAGTGGCACTATGATACTAGTAAGAAGAGTAGACCAGATAAGTTCTCTTATCCTAAATGGCATAGTTTGAGGTCAGAATTCTTGCATGGATGCAAAAAATGGTGTGGCAAGTTTGATCAATGAACTTGTAAATTGCAGATGTTTTATCCTGGCATTGATGCATTTCTATAAATTTTGTATGGCTTTTTTGATATTGTTGTTATAATCCTTCTGTACTTCACTGATGTCCTTTTGAGCTTTTTATTTGTTCATTTCCTATCACTTCCTCAATCAAATTAAGTTTAAATCTTACAATTTGTTTTTATGTTCCTTTCTTAAGTTCCTCTCTCTTTCATATTAATCTTCTCTTAATTTTTGTCACTGTCTTTATGATCTTGAATTTTTTTTCTTTTTGCCTTCATTTTTAATTGTCTATTTGTTTCTCTTGAACTTCTAATAATTTACAGTTTCCTTCTTCTTGATCATCTTTCAACTGTTTCTCCAATATGAACAAATTTTTTGCTCACTTTGATCCCATGTCATTATCTAAAAGTTGAATATATATATATATATATATCATATTTTTTATCAAAATAATCCCACTTCATACATTAGTGTTGTAGCATTCCCTATCGTTGGGTGGATTAAAAATAAGTAGGAAGTCCAATCTATCATTTGATTTATCACTTGTCACACAGTTATAT